CCTGAGTATCTGAGCTTCTTGTCAGAACTGATACAATGCCTTCTCATAGAGTAGATAATATTTATAGAAAGATAGAAGTTGTTGTTACAGATACAATGAAAATAACAGAAGTAAGAGAAGAAATGAGTGTATAAGATCTCTTCTTTCTTCAGCTGCTTAGTGCAGTGTAGACATATAATGATGCTAGTCAGAGACCACACTGAAGTCTTCTCACAGAGAGAAGAAAAAGAAACTGTGAGATTCTGTGAACTCAACTCAGCAGCATTCTGAGCAGGGCTCAGATGTGTCATAAGAGAAGAACTACAGATTGAGCTTCTTGAAGCTGCTATCTCTGAAATCAAGCTCTCTCTGAGATCCTCTTCAAGTGATCACACAGGGTCATATGCCACTGTGTTAACTGAGGAGGAGAACAGTGTCACAACAGCAGTGAGAGAGGCAGAGGAAGAACTGAACACAGATGAACTGACTGGCAGAAGGAATGACATCTCACTGCAAGGCATGGCTACTATCACTGCAGTCACAAGAGATGCAGAAGAAGAAGATGTGACAATGAAAGCAGTGCTTTCATGACTCATTGACATTGTCATCTCTGTCTTCAATCTGGCTTTCTTGACAGTCACAGAGGCTGCAGTCACATCATAAAGATATTTGATCACTAGAAAATGTCAGAATAAGCTCTTTATTATCTTTCAAGAATGATACTCTCATGCGCTCACTGTTACAATTGAGAGAGAAAAAAAGAAAAATATGTCATGAAGAGAGAAAGATCTTTTCAGAAAAAGCCTGTTACTACAGCTAGTATTATCTCTAAAATACATCACTTTTGCAGAGAATTTTATATACAGAACAGAATATGATAGAAGATCTGTAAGTCACTTATTAACTATGTTTTTCACATTTCAAATTGATATATAAGACACTCACTTATCATATATTGAATTTGAACAGAGATGAGAAAGGAAGATCTACACAGTCAGCAGAAAAACTTATCTATTTCTTTGTATCATATACAGTACATGCACTGTCAATTAATTGACAACTATTACTATATAATAAAGATAACTTCTAATTCAGTAATCTTGAGAACATTGAAACTATACTCTTAAAGAGAAGAACATTGTCATGCTCTCAGCTGTATCAAAACCCTGTTGTGATTTCACACAGCTCATTGCTTTCATGTGAATAATTTCATTCTATTCAAACTAGTTTTCAACCACTCTATGACATTATTCAGATATATCATATGAAGATCTGATTAATGAATATGAGAACTCTGCTTCTATATAAGATCAGCAGATTACTCTTTCTTGACAGTGAGACATCACTGAGGTATTACTTTCACTTTTCTTGCTTATGAAATGAAAGAAGGATATCTGCTCATTGTCTATATAGAATAGCTAGATAGTGGCTTCTTATTAAAGAAGTCAGTGATTTGTTTTTCTTCTACTGAAATATATACAAGAGTTACTGCATTTCTCATGCAATCTTCTTGATATACTAAGTATTATATCTGTGATATCCTCACAATAACTCTGTAGCCCACAAGCTTGCTATTCAAGCAAGATACTCAAGCTCACTCATACGGCTTCGCAACAACTACCCCTACGTGACGCCGCTGACTAGCCACCGCTTCGGTTCCGCCACGTTACAATAGACTATGTTCACTTATTAAAAATCAATTTTCTTTATTAAATGTTGAGAAAATTGATCATGAGAAGATATCTCTCTGAAGAGAAAAGCTGAAATCTCTCATAGACTTACAAATAAGTCAACTATTTAAAGAGAGAGAATATGAACAGCATGTGAAGAAGATCTATACAATCAATATAAAAGACTCTATTCTGATTTACTCAGATGACTCAAAAAATATGAATTTAAATAGATTACACACAGACATTACTTATACTGAAGATAATATTAATTTTATTTCAGATTTCTGAAATTTAGACTGTGAATCTGAAGGCTTTGATGCTGAACTATTTGTAATAGTGAAAGCTTTCAAACTCATTGAAATAAAATCTTATAAAAGAGAAAATAGTTTGAAAGAGATATAAATATTCTCTGATAGTCAAACTGCTTTAAAAAGACTTAGAAGTAGTCAGATTTCTAATGATCAAATGAATCTTGAACTGATTTCAAACTCTGTTTTGAAAATTCAAAAGAGAAGAACATTAAAACTGATAATTCATCTACACTAGGTTTCTGTTTATATGAATATTCATGACAATGAATTGACTGATTCAGCTGCAAAAAAGAGTTCAGAATTGAGCAGATTTATTTAAAAAACAGTGTTCTGATCTTTCATAAAGAGAAAGACAAAAGAATCTTGTTTTAATAAGTGAAATGAAAGCTGACAGAAAGAAAAGAAGAGCATACATTATTCAAGATTTGAGATAAAATCAAAGTGAAAATCTTGTTTAATTAAATGTAAAAAGAAAATCTTCTCATCTATAATTCAGCTGAAACTAGAACATGATTATTTCAAATTCTATATACAAAGATTTGATGATAGATTTGATTCAACAGAGTTCTCATTCTGCAATGCAAATGAAAATCCTGAGTATATTATAATGCATTGTGTATTATACAATAGTCTCAGAGTCAGATTGAAGAAGAAGTATAATTTAAATCAATTAAATATGAGGTTCTTATTCTCAACTGAGACAGGAATTAAATACTTAATAGACTTTCTATCAGAAACTCAAGCAGCTATAAGAAAATGACTGAATTCAGAAGTATCTGAATATGAAGAGATGAAAATTAATTAGATATAGTTTGTTAAAACAGCTATACACTATCTTTTAATAATTTTATTTTGTTATAGTCTCTCTTTACTATACTTGTTTCTTTCTGTTGTTTTCTATCTATCTATTTAATGCGTCTATCTTTAAGACTATGTTCTCTTTTCCTTTGTCATGATATTTTCAAATGATTTCAAAGTATCAGAATGTGTTGAAATACTGTAATTTGTAAACAGTTTTTGTATTCTGAGCAAGAATTTTCTGATTTTGCATGTCTGAAGTTGGTAAATGTATAATAGTTGACTCTATAGATATAGGAAAAAGTCCGAGAACTAAAGATTCTCAGATAGATGTCATGGTCTCTGACTGCATACATCTATAATTGAAGAATAATAATAATAATAACAACTACACTTCTGACTGACTAGTCATAAAAGCAGTATCAGAGATGACACAGAAGATGATGATAAAGTTTCTATATAATGAGATCTATGTTAACTATGAAATGCCGCGCGAGATTCTAACTAATAACAGTGTGAACCTCATAGAAGGGACAGTAAGGCATTTCATAAGCCAGTTATAGACAAGACATTATAGAGTAACACTATATCATCCGCGGACAAACAGAAAGATGAAATGCTTGAATGAAATCTTGAGCAACATGTTAATAAAATATCTAGTTAACAAGTCTACATGACTATAGAATAAATATCTCAGACAGGTGCTATTAGTCACATAAATTTGACAGTATACAGTCTTCAAGTGTTCATCATTCTACCTGTTGTATGAATTGCATCCACGCATCTCAGAGAATGCTTTGAAACAGATGAGAGAGAGAACAGTAGTTATAGTTACAGCAGTAGCAGTTGCAGATAAAGCAGTTACAGACATGAAATCAAGATTGAAAGAGATCAGTCATGCATGTGCAAAAGCTAATGAGTTACTCCTGAATCAAGCAATTCAATCAAAAAGAATATAAGATTTACTAGTTAAGAAATTGAGTCTCAAGATGAGAATATAAGTTCTCATATATAATGAGAGTTCTGAGAAGTTTCAATCTAGATGATTTAAGCTCTACAAAATACTCAAATCACATTCACTGAAAATATATGTGTTGAAGAAATCAGAGAGATAGATCTTATACAACTTAATAAATAATTCATATCTTATAAAGATGAAGATACAAGATCTAAGCAGATTATAATTATTTACAGTACTATTATTAGTATTGAAAAAGAAGAGACTTACAATTGAAAAGTCTCATAAAGTAAGAGAAATCATAGATGCTTATAAATCAGATAATCTCACTTATTTCAATCTTTTCATAATAATAAGAAAAAAATGAGAAGAAATGAAGAAATGAGATAAATATCACACTTTAATAAGTGATGAGACTGTAGCTGATTATATAATAACACATCACAGATAGCAGATATAACACAGTAAAGAGTAGTTTCAAAGCAGCAGACTTACACATGAATCAGATCACAGAAGAAAAAGAAATTCAGAGTTGAATTTAACTGTTTATATCAGTTCAATTATAAAGATAACAGAGAATGAAACATCTGAAATATTCACAGATATATGAGATCAAGTCATCTCAATCTCTGAAGATGCTTAGAGATCAGATTAGATTAGTTTCAATGAGCTATTCAATATAGTAGTCTAAGCAGGCAAAGAGAGACAGTATAATGTGTAAGACAGAATTACAAGAGATAAAAGCTGCTGAACCTAGTCACTAAACACTGTATTATATAGAGAGTATGTAAGAGTAGTAACTAGCAGACAAGAAAAAGTAGAAGAAAAGAGAGAGAATAATGAATTGATCATTAACTGTAAGAATTAACTATAAAAGACAAATGTTATCATACACATCTCATTCATTTTCATACACTACATGTTTAATCTATTTTCAACACCATGCCATGTAAAAAGAAAAACATCAAAAACAAAGAAAATTTTAAAACTTGAGATTTGTAAGGAATTTGAGAGCTGCAAGTCACTCTTGTAACAATATCATACATATCTCTGATTTCTCTATTACTCTGTGTATAACATTAATATCATTCATCACAAGATTGACTGAAATGCTAATATAGAAATGTGTACACATACACATAGAAAAATTGAAGAAGAGTGTAAGACCTGCAGAACTAGAAGTCAGAGCAGAGAGAGTGAAGACAGAAGAAATGAAAGAAGAAGAAGACACAGCGCTGAATAAACAATAGTGAGAGTCATCTGAATCTGAATACTTATGACTCAGTATGCACACAATCTTCTCTACAGAGAAGAGAGAGAAAGTGCTGAGAGAAGCTTGAGAACAGAAAAGAGTAGTCTCCGCAGTATTATCATCTTTGATTAAAATGATCTCTGACACTGAAGCAACTAAGAATCATTATTAGAGTATGAAAATCACAAAATCAGAGATGAGAACAGTTATTAAATGAACACTCACTGATCTTAGAATTGTACATGTAATTACAACATGTACAAGACTTCTCAGAAAGAGAGAGAGAGACACAGAGAAATACAGAGAGAAGAATATAATATATAAATGACTTATTCTCATAATAATATCTTAGACAAGGCATACAAGTCTCACATCTGTGAGTGTAAAGGAGTATAACATCTGTGTTCTCATTTGTGAAAACACAGATATCTTTTGCCTGCATTATAAAGTCAGATAACAGATATCAGAGAATAGACTGATACAGATCTATCATTTCAAAGAAATTCATTAGAGTGAATGTCTCTGTGATGTTGAACTTTATAGTTGTAAAAAGTTTCTTAGTGTTTATGAACACTACAACTTCATGTATAACAAAACTCATAATAATTTCCTCTAAGAACAGAAAAATCAGTGTCAGAAAGAGAAGATTGAAAAGGAAAAGACTTATAATCTCAATACTATTGAGAAGAAGAGTGATTGTTGAGTATAAATGAATAATTATCTCACTATAAATACTTAAAATGAATATAATACTCAGTATCTGTAACCAAGCTTTAGATAGTTGTATTATACCTTATCTTTGTACAATAAATTATTCTATAGATCAGTAAGAAGAATGAGAGTATACACACTGAGAAATGTGATTTATTAAGTTTATACAATATCTTCTTGAAAGAGGAAGAGCTAGTAATGAAAGTATAAGCAGAAGCAAACATAGCAGAATTAGAAGTAATAGAAGCAGAGATAGCAGAAGTGAGAGAATCAGACACAGAGATAAGTGTAGAAGATTGAGAGAGAGCAGCAGAAAAAGAAACAGAGAGAATAGAGAGAGATGTGAAAGACTCAGTTATACATAACATAGACAATTTCTTCATTATCATATTCTTCAAGTTCTTGATCAGTGATTCAACATTGAGTTTACTATTATCAGTAAATGCAGATCTGTCAATGTGTAAAGATTTTATATAAAGAAAAATAAATACATCAGCATCTGCATTTATAAAAAATTGTGTCAGAAAACATGATCAGATACTCACTGAGAAAAGAAGATTGAGAGTGTATAAGAAGATGAAGAAGATGTGTCATTTATAATAGTACATTCTGACAATTGTTAGAAGATAAACAAATTCTGATCATGTTTTACAATATGTTACATCTACTGCTAACAAACTGTCTGATATGAGTACTATAATGATACTTTTTATGAGAGCAGTGAGTCATCATCAGAAACATATATAATATAATAGATGAACAGATAGAAGATATTGAACAGAAGAAGAGACAGAAATCTTAAATAAGATAATAATATTCAATGATCATAATAATGAAGAAGATGATTGAAAAATGAAAAAAGTTAGTGAATAAGTGATGTAATATACTGAAAGTTTCTTTGTGAGAATGTATACAGAATACTAGCTGAATCAGAAATAGACTACACAATTATAAATACTAGTGATATGCTAATCCGCATGAAGCTAGAGTGTATATCATGATTATATAAGTGTAACTGAATCTGATAAGAGAGAATGTGATTCAGAAGAATGTACAACTGCTGAATAATAACACAGTCACTTCTGAACATGCTTACAAATGTAAAGAGATCATAGCAGTCACTAATTAATTTAGTATAATGTATATAAGAAGTCAGTGTATGTCTATAATCATATACTGACTCAAGCAATCTTTGAATCACATATTAAAAAAATCTGAAAAAATTATTTTTTTCATAGATAATGTGAAAAGTAATCAGATTTAATGTAAAAATAATAAAATAACAATAATTTCTCAGAATAAACAGTGAAAAATAATCATTTTTCAAAAATTAAAATAAGACTGAAACTGAAAATTAAATTCACTCTAATTCAGTTTATTCAGTAATTACTTATATTAGAATTTAATAATAATTATTAATAATACTTATTAAATAATTAAATATATTCTTGTATAAGTGAATTTTTTTATTTTCTTATGAAAACTACACTTAGACTGACTAATGAGATTATAAATTTCACATTTAACCTTATTTAATCTGATCTAATATATTTCTTAATATAAGTGTCATCTAGACTGGCCGCCAGAACCATGAATTTCACATTTGATCCCATTTGATCTGGTCTCATACATTTCTTGGCGTGAATCCCGCTGGGACTAGTCATTAAAAAAACATGCAAAGTGACTATATATGAGATCTTAAAATGGAATCATGACTTAAGAAAAATGAGAAAGTGGTCTCATTTAATCTCATTTAGTCTCATTCTTAGCATAAAGTTACTATTTTTAGACATTTTAAGGTTTTTTTTACACTATTTTAAATTTTTTAAAAAGTAACGCTTTTTGATAATACTCAAATGAGATTTAAAGTCATTTAAAATAATAAAAATAATTTAAATTGAGAAGTGGAAATCATGGTCTCATTTGAAAAATGTGATAAGAGTAGACAGTAAGTTTCACTGAGACAGTATGAGACTACTATCTAATGTTAAAACTGTGTAATGAGATCAGTCGAATTGGTAATGAAACTATCAAAAAGTCTGGTCCTGGTCTCAGACACGGTCACACGGTCAGTCTACTGTCATCAGAACTAAGCATTAAAAAAATCTGAAAATAAATTATTTCTAAGAGAAATGATGTGAAAAATAATCAGATTTAATTCAAAAATAGTGAAATAAAAGTAATATCTCAGAATAAACTGTAAATGATAATTATTCTTTCAAAATCAGAATAAGACTAAGACTGAATATTAAATTCAGTCTCATTCAGTTTATTCAGTGAGTGCTTATATAATCAGAATTTGATAATAATTATTGATTGTAGCGGGCTGTGACTGATCAATTATATAGACTATTCTGTTATACTTCACAGATTTCTACTGCTTCAATTCTTGAGTATCAATTCTCAGCTGAAAATCTACAGAATTTCTATTCTTGCACTCTGAAGCTTCACTGTGTATAAAAACCTCTATTCTTCTGCTCTGAAGTTCCATCACATACATCACTATGTACATGTATAAATATTCACTTCAATTATCAATTTTCACACTTTCTTTTTCTTTGCTTCTCTAACATTTTTCTCTCTGTTATATAAGACCTATATATTATATCAATCTATTCAGTGTAGGCCTCTTACACTAGAAAAACATTCATTATCTTCTTATTAAACATAATTACTCATCAAGATATCTGAACATGTAATAACACATAAGAAATAGAGAAACAGTTAAACAGTTAAGCAGACACTGAGTTCTCAGATAGAAGCTTACTCATCAGTCATTCTGACCTTATAATAAGATCTTATGAAGAGAGTAAGATCTTACAAAGAAAATATCAGTAAAAGATCTGAGAGTTCTGACATCACAGATATGTGAGATATTTATACAATTACACTTCTTCTGATTCTACAGATATCACACATTCAACAATCAATATAATCATGTCTAACAATAATATGAGAGAATCTTTCAATGTGAGCATAGATACAATGTCACAGTGGCTTTAAGCAATGTTGAAATTACAACAGTAACAGATAGCTGATATGCATGCAACTTAACAATGTTAATATGAGAAAATTCAATGATTATCTCAACTAGGAATCTCTGCACAGACAATTTCAACACTGACAGAATGAAATATAAACATAATACAGATACTGAAGAAACACTTAGATACTTCTGTATATTTCAACACTTCTGATCTCACTCTTTACTCATCATGAAGATTGAAAATGCTTGTAAAACTAAGTATAGATGAAGATATCATCAGTTCACTAATCAATCAAGATGAATATATCAATGAACAGTTGAGAGATCACATGAAATAGAAGTTTTATTCATGAATTAAAGCATGTGAATCAGCATTATAAATATCTGACAATATTAACAAATATCTTGATATTCTGTTCTGAGACACTGTCATGTAATAGAAAGCATTAGATTGATTACAGAATATCTGACAGAGAAATACTTCTTCTACAATATTTATCTCTGACTTCAACATCAAGATTCTAGATACAGGTGATCAATCTTGAGAGAATTGAATGAAGATTATTATGCTCAAGAAGACATTAACTTTCAAACTCTTATAGACTCTTATAAGTGTAGATGAAGACCAGACTTATGAAGGGTTCTGTATACAACTTCAAACATTGAATGATCATCTTATCAAGCTCAAGAGTATATAGAATAGTGACAGAAGATGTTACACTTCAGCTACTCATATATCTATGCTGAAGAATGACAATACAGATGTCATGAATTAAGTGAACTCAAATGTCTACATGTAAGCAAGAATCTTCACTGGCTAAACAGGCTTTCAATTTCCTGAGATCACTTCTGAAGAAGTTGCTGATCAATATCAATGAGAAGTGTGCATCAACTGTAACTGATCAGAACACATTACTTTCAAAAGCTGATCAGTTTACATGCCTTCTCACTTAAAGAATGAATCAATATCTGTTCACATTAATCACATTGCATTGAAAGAAGATTCAGAAGATAACTATGAGAATGTCTCAATAAAACAGGGAAAAGATTAGCTTCTATTCAAATTCATAAACAGAAGCTTGAAGAGGTTGAACAATAATAATTTGAAGAGAAAATATCAGTGAACATGATACTTGTATCTACTGTGATTGATAATATGTATAATATGAAAGCCATGATAGACAGCAGTCTATATTATTATGCAATGATTAAATCTTCAGTTATAAGAAATTATAATCTTCAGTGTATTCACTTATTAAAACCTTAACTTCTCACAGGATTTGATGACTTAAAAGACATTTATACTCATTATATGATGAAGTTGAACATAGATGTCAAAGAACATCAATGAGAAGATGTCTACATATATGAAGTTAATTGTGGCGGGCTGCGCCCGATCAATCATATAGACTATTCCGTTACACTCCACAGATTCCAACCGCTCCATTCTCGAACGCGTACACTCCGATTCTCAGCCATTCTCAATCGCCGATCCTCGGCCGCCACAAACATGTATGCTCCGATTCTCGGCCATTCTCGATCACCAATCCTCAGCCGTCACAAACACATATAGATTCTTCCGCCCTGAAGCCTCACTGCATATGTCATCATATACATGTATAAATATTCACTTCAATTGCTGATTCTCACACTTTCTCTTTCTTTCCTTCTTTAACATTTATCTCTTTGTTATATAAGACCTATCAATATTATATCAATCTATTCAGTGTAGACCTCTTACACTAGAAAAACATTCATCATCTTCTTATTAGAAATGATTATTCACTGAGATATTCAAACATGTAATGACATGTAAGAAATAGAGAAACAGTCAAATAGTTAAGCAGACACTGAGTTCTCAGATAGAAGCTTGCTTGTCAGTTGTTCTGACTCTGTAATAAGATCTTACAAAGAGAATATCAGTGAAAGACCTAAGAGTTCTGACACTCAGATGTATGAGATATTCATATGATTACACTTCTTCAGATTTCACAGATATCACACATCTGATAAAACAATATAATCATATCTAATGATAATATGAAAGAACCTTTGAATGTGAGTATAGAAGTAATATCACAGTAACTCTGAGTATGGTTAAAATTTCAACAGTGATAGATAGCAGATATACATACAACTCAGTAACTTCAATACAAAGAGATTCAAGGATTAACTGATGTGATTTCAACATCTACAGAATCAAATATAAAAGTGCTAAAAGAACACTTAGATACTTCTACATATTTTAATACTTCTGATCTCACTCTCTACTCATTATGAAGAATGAAAATGCTTATGAAACTAAGTATAGATAAAGATGTCATTGATTCATTAATCAATCAAGATTAATATATCATTGAACAATTGAAGAATCATGAAAAACAGAAGTTTTATTCATGAATGAAAGTATATGAATCAGCATTATGAATGCCTTATAATATTATCAAATATCTTGATGTTCTGTTCTGAGACACTGTCATGCAACAGAAAGTATTAGATTAATTATAGAGTGT